TTTATTTTCAGGCTTGTCTTTTCACCTTAATGTACACCTTTTTTGGTCTGGAAATGGCTCAGTGCTTGCTCACCAGGACATCTGGGAGTGGGATGTTGTGCCCTCTGACAGGCAGTGGTTACCTGCTTTCTGTGCTCCAGGTGGCTTGGTTTATTAGTCGTGAATTTTGGGCATAATGAAACTATCCTGCTCAGCCCAGTAGATGAGCACCATGTTCCTGCTGGGTTTTCACCAGTGGGCTGAACTAAGCTTCTTACCTGCCAGCTGTCTCACCAGGTTAAACCTCCATAAATCCATCCTAAAGATCCAGATTCACTTTCTGTAGGAGCATTGTCCCTGCCCATGCAGGAGGGTTGGATCTAGATGATTTTTAAGGTCCTTTTCAACCCAAATAATTCTATGATTTGGTTCAAGATGGATTGAATTATATGGGCACAGGCCTCCTTGCTTAAGGAGCCTACCTAAAGAACGTGAAGGTGACTGTGGGGACTGAGCAGAGTGTCACTGTCCCTTGCATCATCCCCTGGTCGCTGAGGGGATTGCTCAAGTGCAGTGAGGAATTGCTTTTGCACTCTGTGGCTGAGCAGAGCTTGGAGCCTTGCTTGCTGGAGTCTAGCATGGTGATGGAGCTGGTGCATCTCAGAGGTGAAGAGCCTGGGTGATGGTAACAAGCTCCATGTAACTCCTTGCTCACCATGACCTGGCCTTGTCTTTCTAAGAAGAATCTTTTGCTCTGCCAGTCCCTTTCTTGAAGATGAAGGGATTTTGCTCAGTGACCTGCACAGGATCCTCCCCTCAGCACTGTTAGATGGACTGATGCTGGCTCAAGTTTCCATTGGGCTGTCTAAGCCTCCTGAACTGCCGCCCTACTTGGAGAACATCCATGTCAACCAACTTGCTTCCCTCCATTCCTGAAGGCTTCTGTGTGCAGAAGGTCTTTTCATGGCCGTGTTTGTGTGAGCCAGGGAGGAGCTGATGGTCTGAAGCAAGCGTGGAAACACCCAATACCTCCGAGTTTACCCCTTACTCCCAATTTTATTTCCATGGATGTGCTGTCTCCACGTTCCTGGTGCGTGTTGCTCTCTGTTTCTGTGCTCTCCAGCCATTTGAGGAGGGTGAGCGGCGCTGCAGACGACACTGATCTCTGCAAGACTTGCTCTGTCATTCATCCAGCAGCACAAAGCCAGCTCTCCAGAGCCTGGCGTAACCTGAACTGGCTGAAGCTGTGGATTATAGTAGCACAGCGTGACTGCAATTTGCACAAAGATTGTCTTCCACCCCAGCTGGATACCTGGAGCTTTCCCTGCTGTGTCTTGGTGCCCTTTCTGCTGTCAGCAGCTGCTCAGTTTTACCCGTTTGCCTTGTGTGGATGGTCAGAAAGCCACAGATTTGAACTCTGACACTTCCCCTTTTTTATTTGCAGGCTAAACTGCCTCCAGCCCTTCCCTTATCAGTACAGGCTGTTTGTTTTCCTTGTTCCCTGACCCAGGCGACATCATGACATATCAAGTGGTTCCTAGACTCAGCCCAGTGCACCCAGGGAGGGGTACAGCCAGCAGTCAGCCTGAGCAGCTGTCAAAAGGAATTGCTGAGCTGGGAGGATGAAATCTATTGTGCTTCTGGTGTGTTTGATGAACATGTTGTTGCCTCATTGGCTGTGAAGGGAAGCGGTGGTGAAAGGGCCTGGGTGGGATTTCAGTGCTCTGCAGGAGCCTGGATGATACAACAAACCTGTTAAATTAGCCTGGGATAAAATTAATATTTGAATCCCCCCACCTCAAGCCACACATTGGTGTTTAATGGGTGTCAAATAAGATAAAGTATTTAGGACCTCTCAGGTCTTCTGCTGGTGCCCAGATTGACTGTTGAAGGGGGGGATACATGCTGGCTGGGAGGTGATAGGTGGGCAGTTCTGAGAAGATAGAACAAGAAATGCTTTGAAGGTTCCTTAAATGGAGGAAGGAAATCAGCTGATGTCTGGGCTGATGAATGTAGCTTCTGCAGCTTTTACTGTAACTTCATTCCTCCAATTGATACTTATTTTTGTTTTGAAATCCTGGTTGGCTTCTTTGTGGCTCAGTTCCAGCCTGGACGTTGTCAGTTCTGTACCGCCATCTGGCAGAGCTGGTGAGCCAGGGTTTTGGAAGATGTTCCAGGGGAAATAAAACCACAGGGTAGAGCAAAGGAGGAGTCAAACCAGAGTCCTCATGTAGAGCATGTAATTCGATTTGACTGAGGACATCATGGTGGTCATTGGTGATGCACTTGGTGTCATGCTCCCAGGTTGTGTGTGGTAAATCATTAACGTTTGAACTGATACCATAAAAGCTACGTTTACTTTCACTTGTGTGGTTCCTTTGCCTGGTCAGGCTCATGGTGCTCTTCAGTAGTGTCTCAACACAGGGTTTGGTGCAGCTGGGTCTGCTGTGAGGGTCTCTCCTTGCTTCAAATTGTCTGAAAAAAAAGTGGAGTGGCCTTGTAGGACATGAGGGGTTTGGAGGCTGTGGAGGATGTTGTGGTTCTAGGAGGAACAGCTGATGGGTCATAGAGAGGTTCGGTGAGAAGTAAAACTGGAATGGGGGAGATTTAGGTTGGACATTAGTGTGAGGGTGGTGAGACCCTGGCCCAGGTTGCCCAGAGAAGCTGTGGCTGCCCCATCCCTGGCAGTGTTGAAGGGCAGATTAGATGGGGCTTGGAGCAACCTGGTCTGGTGGGAAGTGTCCCTGCCCATGGCAGGGGAGTTGTAACTGGGTGATCTTGAATGTCCCTTCCAACACAAACCATTCTATAAATCTATTAAATCACCCGCAGCTTCAAGGATTAAACTTGGAATGGCCCATTCCCACTGTGCACCAGGTGGGCAGCTCTAGCTTTAATCTTTGAGACTTTGTCTGAATAACCATGGTGTCCTGGTGGGCAAGGAGCTAGTTAACAGTGCCTTGCACTCCCAGCAGAAGAGATCTGCCTGTTACCACCTGGAAGTGATCCCTGCCAGCCAGAACAAAATAACAAAATAACCCATTCTGGAAGCTGCCTTTACTGTGGGTTGGTCTTTGGCTGGTGAAGTGGAAGATGGTTTTAGAATCATGGAATCATTTAGGTTGGAAGAGACCACCAAGATCATCCAGTTCAGCTGTCAACCCAACACCACCATGCCAACTAAACCATGTCTCCAGGTGCCACATCTACATGTTTTTGGAACACCTCCAGGGATGGTGACTCCACCACCTTCCCTGAGCAGCCTGTTTCAATGCATGACCACTGTGAAGAAATGCTTCCTAATGTCCAATCTAAACCTCCTCAGCTTGGAAAGATTCTTTTATGCTGAGGATTTAGAGGAGTTAGGATTTGCCAGTCACATAAACAGTATCAGGTGGGAGACTTTCTGCATTCTAATTGTGCTTTGGAAGAGGATGTGAACTGATAGCATGGTGGTCAGCGTTGCCATAACATCGTTTGAAACAAACCTACACACTCAGCAGGGGGAAGTGACACACGAGGAGAGGGACCATGTGCATGTGGAATGAGCACAAGGCATCTCTGCCAGGAGGGTGAAGCTGCTGCTTCTCTGGAGTGAATGGCTCCTCCACTCCTGAGCCTGCAGATGTGCAGCTGTGGCATCTCAGCAGCTGGATGGGGGGGGTTTTGGGAAAGATAACATGAGATGTGGTTGGGATCTACAACGTAGATAATGTTGATGGTGAATGAGAGCTCAATTGCAGGTGGAATTCTGCCTTTGGAGAGAGGTGAGGCAGGGCAGGAAAGATGAGTAAAACCTCCACGATGAGCAGTCTTGGGTGTTCAAGTTTTTGTTAAGCTCTTTGGCTTATGAATGCCAGAGCTGGTGACTGGGGTAGTTGGAAAGTTGGGGTTTAATGGGAATTTAGCTGTGCAAGTCCTCAGCTGGTTCTGCAAACTGCCACTTGTGTCCCTTTGTGATTAGTCTCAGCCTCTTGGTGTTGGGTTCAGACATAGCAGCTCAGCTGCTGCTCAGAGTAATCACAGTGGTTTTCATCTCAGTGGGTGCACAGCAAGGATAGCAGAGTGTCTACTGAGATGATAAAGCTCCAAAATGGCTTCATTTATCCTTTATGCTACTTCTGTTCTCTTTAAGAGTAGCTGTTGACTCTCTTGGGTGTCCCACTGTGGCAATTACCAAAGACTGAGGTTTTGAGGAGACTCCCTGGTGTCCTTCAAGGCAAGGTTTTATGCTCCTGGTGTCACCCATAAATGAGGGTGCTGCCTCTAATAAAAATACCACATACCATGTCCCTTTCAACTCATACTAACTGATGCCATGATTCTGAATATCCCAGGTGTATTCAGAAGGATGAACAGGATCCTCCTCTAGGTGATCCTGCTCTGACAGGGGGGGTTGAACTAGATGGTCTGTTGAGGTCCCTTCCAACCCCAACCATTCTGTGATTCTGTGTGTGATCCTTTAAATTACTACAGCCAAGAAATAGCCTTTATAGTATTATTTTTCTCTTCTATATTTAAAGAATGCTAGTGGCAAGAAAACTAAACAAACATTTCCAAAATGTGTGAATTGGCTTTTTCTGCTGTTTCTGTGACCAGATCTTCTCTTCAAAGTCACTGGACTTACCCAAAATTAAGAGGATGGGAAGGAAGAAATTAACTGTGCATGAGGGAGGCAGGAGCAGAGCTTTTCCTGCTCTGGCCCAAATGCATGAACTTGCCCTAGTTGGTGATGGTTGTGTAGTTAAAACCTCTTGGTTGGTTTACCCAGAGCAGACAGCAAACCCATGGAGGGGTTAATCTGTCCCAGAGAGAATTCTTTCAGGATCCATGTCTTCATTCTGGAGTGAGGCAACTGGTGTGTTTGTGTCCGAGGGGCTGGGCAGGTACCTTCACATCTAGAAGTGCAGGAGCCTGTCTTGAGTGTGCTCTTCCAGAGAGTGTCTTTAGGAAGAATGGAAGGAGGCTGAAAGACAACTGACGTGTCCCTTGCATCCTTTCCTGTTTCCTCTCTCCACAGGAATGCATCCTCTCTGGGATCATGTCAGTGAATGGGAAGAAGGTCCTTCACATGGATCGGAACTCTTACTATGGAGGGGAAAGCGCGTCCATTACACCCCTGGAGGATGTAAGTACAGAGACTGACACCCCCCCCTTTGTGTCCATAAAGGGGGCTTTATTTCCAGCCACCCTAGGGGTGGGTTCAAATTAATTACTCTTAAGGGTTTCCTTTAAGTTAAGGATGTTTTATGACACTTCCACACCAGATAATAGTGGGGGAAAAACCAGCGTGTTTGTATGTGGTGGGTGGTTCTTGTTTTCTGTAGCTCCCACCTGAGGTTCAAGCACTCAGCATTTGGAGGTGTCCCTGCCCATGCAAAGGGGGTTGGAACTAGAAGATCTTGGAGGTCCCTTCCAACCCAAACCATTCCATGGTTCTTTAATGCCCAACAACAAGATGATAAAACTCTTAGGCTAAATTGTTACTGCCCCTCCTTGTGAGGTCCTTGCTCTTTGAGTGCTGCCAGGCAGGCAGATGCCATCTCCTGTGGTTACTGCAGTTGTGTAGCCCCTAAAGCCCTTACCGTGGCTGATTAATCAGATGTCAGGAAATCACTGTTCCCTTTGCTGCTTAATTGGGTTAAATATTTATATTGCAGAATCTGATTTAAGTATATAGAAGAGCCTGCCCTCTGCTGAAGCAGGCACGTTGATCAGATTACATTTAGCTATGTTCAACAGCCTTTTGGTTCATCAGGTCATAAATTCCCAGGCTTTAGGCCTTGGAGGAAGAAAGACTGGATGAGCAGAATAATTGTTACTGTAAGAATTTCCTGGATGTGCATTGTCTGTGGCATCAAAAATCAAATTTGAGCTGAAGCACTGGCCAAAAGCTTGCGTATGTCAGCTGGGGAGATGTGGGGGTGGAAAGTGTGTACAAGTGTGGGAGAAATTATACCCATAGAGATTTCCTCTGCTATAATAAGTTTTGTGTTCTCTCTAAAGCTCTACAAAAGGTTTAATCTACCAGGAACTCCACCAGAATCTATGGGGCGAGGAAGAGACTGGAACGTGGACCTAATTCCAAAATTCCTTATGGCTAATGGTGAGTGAGCTTAAGCTCCCAGATTTGTTGGAAACTTAGTCTGGGTTAGTGTTTGGGGGCTATGATGGGATAAACAGCCCTTCAGGTATCTTCTCCTGAACTTGTGGGAACATTATTTAGAGCTGAGCTGGTCCTTGTATCTGTGCCAGCACCACCACAAATTCTGCTCTGGACCTTCCAGCCTCAGGAGGTGGCTCCAGCTCTAGAGTGTGCAGCAGTGACCTGTCTGGAACATTCAAATGTCCATTTTTTCCAAACACCCCCTCTTAAAATGTTGGCATTTCCAGCCAGAGTTAACACTGAGTTTGTGCATTGTTGTTATTTCATGGCTTAGGAAGAAACAGTTGATTCCATGGTGACTGTTAATCCCTATTGTTCCTATTTTATGGCTTCCAGCCTCTGTCATCCCCTACTGATGCTGCAAATCCTCATCCTTTAATCTATGTGTTCCAGTACTGGGATGGGTCTTCTGGGCCAAATCTGCTATTGGTGAGGTGGTTACTAAAGCAAATATGTTCAAGGGCAACTCCCTTTGCCAAATTCCAACCACTTGCTGCTGGAATCTCTTGTCCCTGCAGCACGAGGGGATAGATGTGTAGTGCCAGTCTTGCACTGGCTTGATTTGAATCTCGTCAAGGTTTGGTTACTTGAGTCTCAGGTCACTCTCATTTTGCACAGGAATCCCATCGTGGTGAGTTTCCAGGGGACAACACTGTGGTCAATTCTGGGCCCCTCAGGAAAGGAGGAACATGGAGAGGCTGGACTGTGTCCAGGGAAGGGCCCTGGAGCGGGGGAAGGGGCTGGAGCAGAAGGAGAAGAGGCTGGAGAACTTGTGAGGAGCAGCTGAGGGAGCTGGGGGTGTTGAGCCTGGAGCAAAGGAGGCTGAGGGGAGACCTTCTGGCTCTGCAGCTGCCTGAGAGGAGGTTGGAGCCAGGGGGGTCGGGCTCTGCTCCCCAGGAACAAGGGACAGGACAAGAGGGAACGGCCTCAAGTTGTGCCAGGGGAGGTTGAGGTTGGATCTGGGGAACAATTCCTGCCTGGCAAGGGTTGTCAGGGCCTGGCCCAGGCTGCCCAGGGCAGGGGGGGAGTCCCCATCCCTGGAAGGGTTTCCAAGGCCTGGAGATGATGCTGAGGGACATGGGGCAGGGGTGGCCTTGGCAGGACTGGGTTGATGGTTAGACTGGATGATCTTGAAGCTCTGTTCCAACCCAGGTAATTCTATGAACATCACTCTGGGGATGTGACAGTGGGTAGGGACAGGTAAATGGACACATGTTGACAGAAGGTGCTTTCAAGCTCATTTGTGGTCAGTTGGATGGACAACTCCTGCAGGCTGGGCTAGATCTGAACAGGGTGATGAGGAGCTGCGGTGGTTCAAGGACGTGACCTTGTTTGTCACGTTGAGTGTGAAGGAACTACAAGGAGCAAAGAGCAGCAAGTGTTGTGCAGCAAGTGAATGTGCTGCAGGGTGGGTTTTACTCAGAGGCTTGGTGGAAACCACAGGAGTGACAAGGAAAATTGTTAATTGCCTGTGAGAAAGCTTTAAAACAGCCTAATGATTACACCAGTGAGTATCTGCCACACCCTGTCACACTGAGGTGTGAGAGCCACGTGGGTTGAACATGGTGCTGTTGTTGAAGGATTTGCTGTGGTGGAGGAACTGTTTGCCTTGGGAGAAGAAGCACTGTCCTCTCTTGGCTTCTGGCTACAGAGCAGCTGGTTGACTTGTGCCAAACCTCCTTTCCAGGTCAGTTGGTAAAGATGCTGCTCTACACAGAAGTCACTCGCTACTTGGACTTCAAGGTGATCGAAGGGAGCTTTGTCTACAAGGGAGGAAAGATCTACAAAGTTCCTTCCACTGAGGCAGAAGCCCTGGCATCCAGTGAGTAGCTGCACCTTGCTTTGTTTCCTCCTCAGGCTACCACCTCTAAACAAAGGCCAGACAAGTCTCCTCCACCCGCATCTTGGGGTGTTCTGAGCTCCTATAGAAAAGGAAATCTTGATGGTTCCTAATGTGGTGGAGACTCCACCTCATCAACAAGCTGTGCTTAGCATCTCACTCGCTGTGCTCTGCATCTCATCTCACTTCAAACAACACTCGTAGTGAAGTCTTGAGCTTCCTCACCCTTGAGTTAACCATTTTCTTGGAGCTTTCAGATGGAGCTGGTCAGGCTGCCTTTTCTGTGGCTCAGCTGGTGAGAACTTGGCAGCATTTGACTTCCTCCAGAGGTTACATCTGGGGCTCCCAACTCACCCATACATATTATTAATGCTGGGTCCTTGTTGGATGGATTTGTGTGCGTGTGAAAATGCTGGATTCATCAGCAGGCAAATGGGAGTGACCAATTCTGACATGTGCCACCTCATTCAAACCTTAATTGTTGTCTTCTTGAATTTCACCCTTCAGATAAAGCCCCTGATCATCCATGATAATGTGGTGGAAGTGGTCAGGAGCTGGCAGAGGGCAGTCAGGTGTGGGGCCTGTTTAGTAGCACTTCTGAAAGCTCTTGTGATAAAGGGATTCCTGCCAGCAAGGCTCCTGGTGTGTCTCATCTGGACGTTGGAGCCTTCCTCGTGGCAGATACTCCTGTTTGTAGTGGAATAATTAGTTGTTCCTTCAATCTGGCCTCCTTGCTGTCTCATAAGTCTCTCTTCACAGACTCATGCTGGCAGAAGTAGAAGGTGCCTTTGGTGCTGTCTCTTCCTTAATGTTTCAGCAAGTCCAGTCTTGCTTCTCTAATTGTTAGAAAATCCAAGTTGCCTTGTCCAGTCTCATGTTTGAAGTTTTGACCTTTCTAGTTCCTTGGTGAGGAACTGCAGGAGAGCCCAACACCACTTGTTTTGATGGAGCTTTGATCAACACACTTTGATGATGCCAGGTCTGGTAGATACCAAGCAAAAGTCTCTGTTCAGGGAATCTCTGGTTTGTTTTTTCACTGGGACAAGTGGGAACTGCTCCCCAGGCCTTCCCCTAGCTGGAAATAGTGTAGGAGCCCAACCTTCAGTCATGCCTTGAGAAAATTTGGCTCTCTTGAGGTCTTTGTCCTTGCCTGTGGCAAGGGGGTGGGAATTAGATGATCCTTAAGGTCCCTTCCACCCCAAACCATTCCACACCAGGACAGCTGTGAGGGTGAACTGGCTTGGCAGATGTTGGCATCTCTCCTGTTTGAAGAGAGCACCTTGGCAAGCCCTGGGGGCCAAACCCCACCTTATCAAGGGATGTTTGAAACCCTCGGTGGTTCTTCCTCCCTTCCTCCCTCTCTGTGGCCATGGAGGAGCCTCAGGAGCTGGGTGAGCTCACACAAGACACCTTCTTTTTAGGCTTGATGGGCTTGTTCGAGAAACGCCGGTTCAGGAAATTCCTCGTGTACGTGGCCAACTTTGATGAGAACGACCCAAAAACTTTTGAAGGTGTTGATCCCAAGAAGACCACCATGCGTGATGTCTACAAGAAGTTTGACCTGGGGCAAGATGTGATAGACTTCACAGGCCATGCCCTGGCACTCTACAGGACTGATGAGTAAGTGGGGGTTCAGTTGATCCCCAAAATTGTCCGGGGTCCTGGGTGCTTCCAGCATAGGCCTTTGCAGCCTGAGGGTGGGACGTGTTGCCAAGTGTTTCTGTCCCTGAGGGCAATATTAATCTTGAAATTCATCTTTAAAATACTGAATCCTCTGCTGATGGAGTAAAGTGGATGGGTTCCATGAAGCATCTCCTTCCTGATTGAAACCCCTTGAGACATTGATAGGACAAGGGGGAATGGTTTTAAACTGGAAGAGGGGAGATTCAAGTCAGACATCAGGAGGAAATTCTTCCCCATGAGGATAGGAAGGCACTGGAACAGGTTGCCCAGAGAAGCTGTGGAAGCCCCTTCCCTCAAGGTGTTCAAGGGCAGGTTGGATGGGGCTTGTGCAGCCTGGTCTGGTGGGAGGTGTCCCTGCTCATAGCAGGGGGGTTGGGACCTGATGATCTTGAAGGTCCCTTTGAACCTTCACCATCCTATGATTGAAGTGCTTCTAAAAGGGAACTTTCAGGGAAATTCTTGCCAGGAGCAGCTGGAGGGTGGAGAAGGGAACTTCCCAGGAAGTGAAATGTTTTGCTCTGAGCTGGAAGTCTTGCTTCATGAGGTTGTAAATCACCCAACTGTCCTCTCCAGCTATTTAGATCAACCCTGCCAAGAAACAATCAACAGGATTAAGCTCTACAGCGAGTCACTGGCTAGATACGGTAAAAGCCCCTACCTGTACCCCCTCTATGGCCTTGGAGAGCTGCCCCAGGGGTTTGCAAGGTGAGAACTTGGTTTTAGACTCTGGTCTTCTCTTCTGGGAGGGGGGATCAGGTGTGTGGAGTCACTGCTTGGCCTTCCAGAACGTGCTTCTGCATGAAAAATTACTGTGGTTGTTGATGGTTCTGTCACTGTCTTCATCAAGAACTGGTTCCTCTGTGTGAGATGGCTTCTTTCTGGCCTTCTTCACCACATTTCCTGGTGGTGGTAGCTCTGGGTTGGCTCAGAGGTAGTTTGCAGCATGTTGTCTATCCCAGGAGGTGGATTTCTCTTCCTGGTGTGACCCACAGCTCGTACACTGAAGGACTGTCTGGGTTCCACCAAGCAGGTTTTTTTTTCTACCTGGGGTTTGTTCCAAACACAAGACGGTTTCTTTGCAGGAAGTTTTGAAAAGGTTCAAATCTGAACGTGGAGTTTGTCCCAAGTGGAAGAGAAAGAAGGGGCTTGGAAGGGCTTGTTGAGGTGGAACATGCAGCTGTGGGAGGTGCTGAAGTGGCTTTTGCTCTTGCAGGCTAAGCGCGATATACGGAGGCACCTACATGCTGAACAAGCCCATCGAGGAGATCGTGATAGAAAATGGCAAAGTGGTTGGTGTGAAGTCTGAAGGGGAGGTAGGATCCAGTTCCTTCCCTGCTCCCCACCCCACATCTTGCCTCTCCCTGTGGAGGCTGTCACGGATCTGAACAAGCACAACAGGAGGAAAAAACCCTCATCAAAGCCCTAAAACCAAAACTGTTGGAGGGGGGAACAATTGGGGCTCCTTGTGCCAACTCATGTTGATGTTTGCATGGTGAGGAGCAAAAGGACAAGAGGAAATGGTCTCAAGTTGCACCAGGGAAGGTTTAGCTTGAATCTCAAAAGACAGTCCACTGAAAGGGTTATTAAACCCTGGCCCAGGCTGCCCAGGGAAGTGGTTGAATCCCCATCCCTGGAGGCCTTTCAAAGCCATGTAGATGTGAAGCTGAGGGACATGGGTTAGCTTTGGACTTGGTAGAGTTGGGTTAATGGTTGGGCTTGATGACCTTTAAGGTCTTTTCCAACCAGAGCAATTCTGTGATTTTGAATGCAGTAGCCCTACTCCAGGAGCTGGAATGAAGTCTCCATGGGCTGGGCAAGGTTGTCTTCTGGAAAGATCAGCCTGGCTAAGCTGAAAAGGAGCTTCTTGCTTGTGTCCAACCTGGGTGTGGAAGCAGCTCTGCCCTTGACTCTCAGCAGGAGCTGCTCAGCAGCCACGCAGCCTTTCTGCAGCTTCTCCTCAACCTGGCAATATAAAACTGGCCAGAGTGCTGGGAGCTGCTTTGAAGCTGTAAATGTCATCCCAACTGGAGTGGAAGCTTCTTGGGACAGTTTGGGACTTGCTGGTTGAGTAACATGTCCCTTCTGGGTCGGAGATGACATGTCCTGGCTAGCACAGGGGTGATGATCTGTGCACAGCCCGATGTGCCAAAGTGCAGCCTGCCTGGAGGCTTCAAACTGCTTAAATTATTGCTGTAAAACTGAGTTCTGCTGGGAACTGCTCAGTTCTTACGTGTGGTTCAGCCTTGACTGCAACAAGTCATGGTCCTAGACTGGAAGGACTGGACCAACGTTGTGCTCAGACCTTGTCCCTGTGCTCAACCAGGGGAAGACGTGATTGATCGTGCAGCTCTGGGACGGGGGGGTTTAAATCCCAGATGTGGATTGTCCAAGTTGGCAGCCAAGTGGGAACTCAAAGCATGAAGAGCCACCTGGAACCACTCCTGGTGTTTCCCACCATGGCTGGTTCCTCCCCAGGGTGTGGTGCTCACCCAGGGTCTGGTCTGTCCCCCTCCCAGGTCGCTCGCTGCAAACAGCTCATCTGCGACCCCAGCTACGTCTCTGACCGTGTGACGAAGGTCGGGCAGGTGATCAGGGTCATCTGCATCTTGAGCCACCCCATCAAGAACACAAACGATGCCAACTCCTGCCAGATCATCATTCCACAGAATCAGGTCAACCGGAAATCAGGTGGGTTGGTTGACCAGTGGTGACCAGGGGGCTGCTGGGGCACCTGCAGGTTTTCATCGTCCCTGGGTGGAGGGTCTAGCAGGGTGTGAATCAAGGGGAAAATCACAGTCATGGAATAGTTTGGATTGGAAGGGACCTTCAAGATCATCCAGTCCCACCCTCCCACCAGCCCAGGCTGCTCCAAGCCCCATCCAACCTGCCCTTCAACACTGCCAGGGATGGGACAGCCACAGCTTCTCTGGGCAACCTGGGCCAGTGCCTTCCTACCCTCATGGTGAATAATTTTTTCCTGATGTCCAACCTAAATCTCCCCTCTTCCAGTTTTAATCCATTATTCCTCATCCCATCCCTCCGTGCCCTTGTCCCAAGTCCCTCCCCAGCTTTCTTGGAGCCCTTTCACCCCTGTGAGGGCTGGGTTGGGTGCTGGGGACCTCACTGGTTTTCAGGAGCTCTCATAGCCACAGGAGCTGGAGTTCTGGGAGCTCAGAGGCTGCTCATGTCCAGGCCCCTCAGCCATGAGACCAAGAGCACGTAGGGATGTCAGGGCCAGGCCAGGACTCCAAGTGGGGTCTGAGCGAGACCAGGAGGTGGGAAGTGTCAGGGAAGTGGGAAGAGTTGAGTTGAGTGTGTGACCTGAAGGAGGTTTAGGAGGGAGGAAGCTGGCCTGGCCTGGGCTGTGGGCTTCCTGGCACCTCCTGACCTGCCCTGTGCTTCCCCAGATATCTACGTCTGCATGATCTCCTCTGCACACAACGTGGCAGCCCAGGGGAAGTACATCGCCATCGCCAGCACCACCGTGGAAACCGCCGACCCAGAGAAGGAGATCAAGCCAGCCCTGGACCTCCTGGAGCCCATCGAGCAGAAGTGAGACCACAACAAGCCCCTCAGCCCTGCTGCCAGTGCCTGGGCCTGAAGCCCAGGTTAAACCTCCCCTGGTGCAACTTATCCCAGTGTTACTAACTTGGGAGAAGAGGTCAACACCCACCTCCCTACAGCCTCCTTTCATGAGGCCACCACTGCCCCATGTCCCTCAGCACCATCTCCAGGGTTTGGAAACCCCTCCAGGGATGGGGACTCCCCCCCTGCCCTGGGCAGCCTGGGCCAGGCCCTGACAACCCTTGCCAGGCAGGAATTGTTCCCCAGATCCAACCTCAACCTCCCCTGGCACAACTTGAGGCCGTTCCCTCTTGTCCTGTCCCTTGTTCCTGGGGAGCAGAGCCCGACCCCCCTGGCTCCAACCTCCTCTCAGCAGCTGCAGAGCCAGAAGGTCTCCCCTCAGCCTCCTTTGCTCCAGGCTCAACACCCCCAGGTCTTCCCCCAGCCTCCTCCAAGCCCACATGGATGCTCAGTGATGTTTCCAAACCACCCTGATCCTCTTGTTTTGTATGAATTCCCCTCCTTCCAGGTTCGTCAGCATCAGTGACTTGTTCGCCCCGACCGACTTGGGCACCGAGAGCCAGGTGAGTGACCCCCAGGCTGGTGTGGGAAGGGGGTGTGAGGAGAACCTGGATGTTCCAACAGCTCCTTCTCTTCCCAGATCTTCATCTCCCGCACCTACGACGCCACCACCCACTTCGAGACGACGTGTGATGACATCAAAGACATTTACAAGAGGATGATGGGATCAGAGTTTGACTTCGAGGAGATGAAACGCAAGAAGAACGACATCTACGGGGAGGAGGAGCAGCAGTAAATGAGCATCTCTTTAATTAGGAGAAATTAAAAAAAAAAAAATCGGCTAATATGAATATATAAGGAACTTAATGAACACTGTATGAAATTCAATATTGTAAGGCCTGCTTTTTGTAATCCCATCTCTGAGAGATTGAAGAGTTACTGCACTGGTCATGTTCCCCTTTTTTGGATATTATCATGTGTTAATGATTTCATTCTAGTAGGGTTGCTGTCCAGAATCTGGCAAATTACTGACTCTGATCTAAGGACTAACCTGGAAGGCAGACTTGAACCTTGGCTTTTTATTTCCTTTTTATTTTGGTTGGGGTTGGTTGTTTTTTTTTGTTTTGCTTGGGTTGTTGTTTTTTTTAAAATTTTGGTAGAGGTTGGTGAAATAACTCCCTGCCAGCTGTGTCTTCCCTTCTCCTCTGAATCATTTGTCACCCTCCCTCCCAACGATGTGCTTCTGGTGAGCTGGTAGAGGTGACAGTTGTCACTCAAACCCCTGATATCAAGGCAAAAAAAAAAATACCCAAAAAACATAGAAACTGAGCACTCCATTATTGTGGACAGCAGCCCTAAAAACAAAAACAGTCTCTTCCCATCAGTCTTCAAACTCTCGTGGCAAGTTGTGTTATGGACAGAGCCCACATCTCTTGTAGCAGCAACTGTTGGCTTTAGTTCTGGGCACGTCACCTCCACTTCAGCTTCTCCACACTGTTGCCATGGGTGGGGACACAGCTGTGCCTGAGGCTCCTTTGTGTTTTAAATCTGAATAAAATTGAGAGAACAAATTACAGAGCAGGCAAGATGTGGGAGTTATTTTTCTGTACCCCCTGGGTTGGCTCCCTGGGCTGGACCAAACGGCTGCGGTATCGGTCTGACAGAGCCTGTGGTGCTTCTCCTTGTCTCCTGAAGGCTCCACATGATTTCTGTACTGCGAAGTAAAGCCAAATTCTGGAAACCAGTCCTGGGCTCTGGTCTGATTCACTTCACTGGTACGAGGAGCAGCTGCTTTCTTGAGATTCCCTTGGATCTCTCTGCCTGCCAGGGTGGAAACGGGAGCGTTTCCTGCTGGAAAATGATGGGTGGGCTGGGAGAGTTGGGGTGTTGAGCCTGGAGAAGAGAAGGCTCCAGGGAGACCTTAGAGCACCTTCCAGTGCCTGAAGGGGCTCCAGGAAAGCTGGGGAGGGACTTGGGACAAGGGCAGGGAGGGATGGGAGCAGGGGGAAGGGTTTCCAGCTGGCAGAGGGAGCTGGAGCTGAGATGGGAGGGAGCAATTCTGGGCTGTGAGGGTGGGGAGAGCCTGGCCCAGGTTGCCCAGGGAAGCTGTGGCTGCCCCATCCCTGGGGGTGTTGAAGGGCAGGTTGGATGGGGCTTGGAGCAGCCTGGAATGGTGGGAGGTGTCCCTGCCCATGCAGGGGAGTTGGAACTGGATGATCTTTAGGTTCCTTCCAAACCAAGCCATTCCATGATGATTCCACAACTGGCTTCCTCAGTTGGACTTCCCAGGCTGCCCTTGGCAGGGCAGAAGCTCCAGCCCGGTCTGTGCCTCGGGCAGGGAGCTCAGCGCTCCCTGCTGCCCCCTCCAGTGCCCGCATCCAGCAGCAGCTCCTGCCGGGAGCAGCAGAAAAATCAACTCCTGCTCTTGGGGGCTCCTCTGCGGGGCCTCGATCTCCCGGCACAGAAGCTGCTCCTCCTGAGCGACCTTTATTACTCCCCTGCTTGGATCCCTCCTGCTGGGAGGTGGGGTGGCAGTTGCACAATGAGGAGCAGGGCTCGTCCTGACAGCGATGCCAAGTACCAGGAAAAGTGGGAACAAGCTTTGGAATGGGGGTTTGTTTCCCCCTGCTCTCAGCTGCTGCTCCAGCCGGGCAGGGTCGCTGGGGAAGGGCTGATCCTTCCCCCAGCTGTAGTTGTGCTGCTCCTGCGAAGAGGAACTGAGGTTTCCACCACATCCCCCTCCCAAAGCTGCACCAGCCCTGGCTGTGGCTGCCCCTCATCTTCCTCCCTCCTGCCTGGGGGGGCTTTTGGCACTTCCCTCTCCCTGCTGTGCCAGTTCCAGGAACCACCTTTCTCCTGAAACCACCACAGCGTGGTGGGTCCCTGAAGTTCTCTCTTGCTTTGTGCCTCCCCCACCCTTCAGCTGATTCAGTTGCTCAAACCTTTTCAAAGGCAGGAGAGCCCTAAAGCACATGGACCAGCAGCTCCTGCCACCCCTAAATGCTGCCCTTATCCCCCCTCTGCTGTATCCTGGTTATTCCACTGGCTGATGGATCTCCCTCCTGCTGGGAAGAGGGTGGTGACCCTGCAGCCTTGAGTCCCCCTTGGCTGTTGAGAGGCTGCTGGGCTTTCCTTCCTCTCTGGCCTTCAAAGTTGGGGTGGAGCAGAACAAACCCAACTCCTGAGCCAGGTGGGAGCTGGGAAAGATGCTGGGATCACCCAGAGGGCAGAGATTCTGCCCCTCTCAGGAGCAGCAGCCTCTGAAACTTCGTGGGGTGGTTTGTTTGGTTTTTTTTGTTAAGGTTTTATATCAATCAAACTCTGCACAAACCTGTCCTGTGTTCTTTTATTAAAATTAAAATAAAAACAAAGAGAGAGGACAACCCTGTCCTGTGCATCCCAAGGTGGGGAATCCTGCAGGCATCTTTCATGGGGCATTTCCCACCTGGCCTGTCTGAGTGATCATAAATAAGAGCTTTTTGTTCCCCTGCTATTGACAAGATTCCCACCTGCTGGAATGTGGCAAATCCCAGCAGTGAAATGGTACCAAGAGGAGGAGACTTGAACCGTAGTGTAGAGCAGACCTGGAAATGTCCACCTAAAAAAACTGTCCACCCAAGGGTGTGTGTCCTGGGCACAGCAAAAACCACTTGGAAAAATGCCTTTATTGTCCTGGACTCCCACTCTTCAAGTAAACAGCTTCTTCCTATTATTTATTTTTTTTAAATTAAAATAAAAATTATTCCTATTTCTGCCACCTCAGCTGCACTAACCACCTGCAAATCCTCCCAGTTATTTAAACCTGTGTCAGGTTAAACCAGCCTCTCTCCTACTGGAACTCGATGGCAGGGACTCAATCCCCGGGAGGGTTGGCATGAGGTACCTGGAAAGAACTTCTCCCTACAGAACTGGAGCCAACATTCCCAGGGTTCCTGTGCAGCCCCTGAATCCCAGCAGGATGTGGGGGCCATTCCCAGAGGAGGAGGATGCCCCAGATGGTGCCACAGGGCCCGGGAGGAGCTGAGTTGTGGCTTCGCTTCGTCACCTGCAACATACAGATGTGGGCCAGGTCAGTGCTCTGCTCCCCCAGCTCCATCAGGGCTGAGCACCTGCTGAGCTATCCCAGGGGATCCCAGCATGGAACCTCCTGGATCTGGCTTCAGGAATCAGCTCCTGGTGTCAGCAGAGCTGGAGAAGATCCTGCAGACAAGCCCTGGGAAAGGTCCCTAAGCTGCTGCAGGAGCAGCTGGTGGGAATGGACAAGTGTCCCTCACCAGGTCCCTGCTGGGACCTCATCCCTGTGTGGGGACATTCCTGTGTGGGGACATTCATCTCTGTGCTGGGACATCCCTGTGTGGGGACATCATCTCTGTGCTGGGACATCCCTGTGTGGGGACATCCCTGTGTGGGGACATCCCTGTGCTGGGACATCATCTCTGTGCTGGGACATCCCCATGATGGGACATCATCCCTGTGTGGGGACATCCCTGTGCTGGGACATCCCTGTGTGGGGACATCATCCCTGTGTGGGGACATCATCCCTGTGCTGGGACATCCCTGTGTGGGGACATCATCTCTGTGCTGGGACAACTCTCCACAGACCAGCAGAAGTCCCAGTGCAGACACATCCTGGTGGAAAGTTGTCCCATGGAGAGTTGTCCCATATCCCAGACCCACAGCTGGACCCCAGTTCCCTGCCTGCCACCCCACAAACAACCCGGGAACTGCTCCTGGACTTTTTCAGGGAGAAGGAGTCAATCCCAAGTCCCCCCCTTACCAGTAGCTCCTCCTGAAGGGGGCAGCAGCTTTCTGGACCGTCCCAAGGAAGGTGTTGACGTCGGCCACGAGGATTCCTTGGCTCTCAAGCTGCTCCCTGCCCACGCTGGGCTTTGCTGCAAAGGAAGGGGAGACACATCCAAGGACGGTCTGGGAGCTGCAGGAATTATTCCCAACTCCCCCTGCAGTTACTGCTCAGAACTGCTGGGCAAACAGGCCAGGACTGGAGTGTGACCTGAGGTCACCACCCACTGACTGGAAAAAACTGTCAGAATTCAGCAAAGCTCCAAAAATCTACTCCTTTTGCCTTTTACTGCAGGGACCTGCAATCATGGAATCACAGACTGGGCTGGGTGGGAAGGGACCTTCAAGATCATCCAGTTCCAACCCCCCTGCATGGGCAGGGACACCTCCCACCAGACCAGGCTGCTCCAAGCCCCACCCAACCTGCCCTTCAACACTGCCAGGGATGGGGCAGCCACAGCTTCCCTGGGCAACCTGGGCCAGG